TGACGTGTGGCTGTGCTTTATAAAGGAAAGATGCGCAGAAACGTGCGTACGTATGGTTTTATAAATCTGAATTTTTTTGGCGTACACCATTTTCACCTTTTGGCCGTACGTTCACTTTTAGTATGGTTTCCACGCAATCCTTTATAAATCTGACCCCAGAAGTCTACCTCATACCTGCCAACTCCTGCTGACATCATGAGGAACACCTGTTCAGGTTAACCAGGAGCTGTGGACTGAAGCAGTTATAGGGGGGTACAGGAGGATACTCTCCTAGAAACCTTTCTCTTTTAGTAAAAGATTTACTCAGATCTGAATTTTCAGCCATTTGAAGAGAATTAGACTAAATTCTTGGGATTAATTTATTAAAACGAGATCAAATCAGTATTTTATGAAGAACGCGCTGCAGGTGGTGAAGGGTCTGACCTTGGGGGGCAGCTGTTGTTGGATAGCAGGTCGCTGCAGCCACCTTCCTGCCTTCAGCTTTCTGCTTGTCGTAGATTTCACACTCAGCCAGCAACATCTCGTAGCCCTGACAGCGCACGCTGACGCAGCTGCTGGGTAGATCTTGGTTGCGGCTGTTGGCCAAAAGGGTGTCGTAGTCCATGGTGTGTGTAGCTGCTGCGCCCCTGCACACATGCATCACCAGTTAATTATTAGTTTAATGTTGATATTAGTGTTTCAGAGCCATATCTCCTCACAGTGTGTGTGTCTGTGCCTTGCAGGCTACGTTAGCAGCAGCCATGTCCCACAGCTCGCCACACAGCAGCAGCTGATCTCCACCTCCAGCTCCATCAGGAAGAAAGATCCTGATCAGGCCTGAGTCTGAGTCCATGGAGCTGTGGAACGTTTTAGAATCTGAAGGAAAGGAAACATCATTTATAAAAAGAAACAAAACAAACATCACAAAACTGTGAATGTGTCTGCGTTAACAAACCTTTACAGTTTTCTCCAAAATGAGAGAAAAGAGGTTGATTGTTGCGGCAGGAGGCGGCCATCGCCTGAGAGACAGATCAGAGGATGCTGAGAGTGAGTGTGGAGGAAGGAAACTGAATAATGAAAAAATGTATGAGCCCYATGGATAGCCCTTCATCAGAGCTAAACAACAACAAAAATCTGAAGCTCCTACGTTGAACAGTTTTTGAGTTATAAGCATTTTTGCATGTCCTGACACCCCCTTTTTAGATGGAGCCCGCTCCTCAAATATGGGGTCTATCATAAAACCATTGGCTGGTGCAGTGTAGGTCAGACTCATCTACGTTCCTGTCAAATTTCACGCGGCTCGGTGCAGCTGTTTCCATGCTACAGTTGACTGGAAATCTTGAAAATAAATAAATAAATAACCTGTCAATCAAAAAGCAGACTTGTGATTCGCTGCTTGTTCGGGGCGAACAGACTTCAGTCCGACTGCAGGAAAAACACTGAATTTCTTTTATTTCTGAGTCTCCAACACGACTCTAAGATTAGAAACTAAATTTAAACAGAATCAGCCGATCAGTTTTAGGATCAACACCTGGATCAGGTACCTGGCAGTAGGATCTGTAGTTCTTGCGGTTCAGCCCACAGACTGGTTTCAGACCCTCTAAGGGGCACAGGTAGGGGGGTTTACAGCTGCACTGTCCATCGATGCATCGCTGCCATGGAGGACAGAAGACCAGGTCACACGAGGCCCGGGTCAGCCTGATGAAGAGAAACCAGCAGCTTAATACAGCTGAAGTAAACAGAATCAGCAACAAACACCTGAAAGAGCCTCAGATAGTCTGAAGGACCAACAACCTCAGGAAAATACGATCACAACAAATAAAAGATACATGAAAATGTTTTTACACTTCAGCATCCCTTACATGTGGAGTCCCGCAGGGTTCTATTCTGGGGTCACTTTTATTTTCATTAAGCCTGCTTCCATTGGGTCTGTTATAAGGAAGCAGGGRCTTTCATTTCATTGTTACGCCGATGATTGTCAGGTTTATATAGGCCTCTGAGATGTACAAATACTTCGAAAAATCCTTTTTTAACAACCTGAGTTGTTGTTTATTCAACTTGTTTTCTGTTTGTTTTGAAAATCTCTGCGTTTTATGTGTTGTTTATGATAGTTGGTGTAAAATGTGAAGCACTTTGGTCAACTGCTGTTGTTTTAAATGGACATCGACACAAAAGCAGATACTTTTTGTTCAGACACTCCTGTGAACCCAGAAACTCATCGTCTGCTTCGGGGGTGGTGGTGGGTTTCTGTCCGACCTGCTGGATCTGCTGCTCTAAGCGTGGTGGTGGCGGGTCTCTCTTTGGTGGACTTGACTGTGGGAAAGACCAGAAGATCTCAGAATGATCTAAATGTTTAAACCATAAAAACCTTTAGTTTTAAAAAGATTTGACATTTTTTACTCAGAGGAGAAACTCAGCTCTACTGAAACTGCTTTTATTTTCAGTCCAGAACAAACTGAAGCAGGACTGAACTGGACCCGACTCTGTTTGTTGAAGAAATGTCAACAAGAGTTCAGAAAGGTTTACTGTAAATCAGCTTGAAAGGGACACTTCCAGTAACCAATGTTCATTAACATAAGATAAAGAAAAAATGTCAAATCTTTTTAAATTAATGGACATTAATGGTCCTGCTGGGGTCCATCAGGGTCCACATGTGGCCCCTCTTTGACTGCATCATGGGCCAACTGTGAAATATTTCATCCTAAAAACCAACCATCAGTAATTTTAACTAAACAAAATAAACTAATGCTCAACATTTTAGATTTATTTTGTATTTGAATCAGCTGTTTTCAGAAACCAGAATATGCAAACATTTCATTTCACAAAGTGAAACTTCCACCTTTTTAAGCCAAATAAGCATAAAAAATGCTGACTCACCGTTTCAGAGCGGAGGATGAGAAGAAACAGCAAGAAAAGAGACTCAGGTGTCATCCTGAGCAACAGATTTAATCAAACTAAAATAAAAACAGATTAAAGAGAGTAAAATGTCTCCATGAGACAAAAGCAGCAGATTCAGTGTTTCTCTGAGGACGGTCTGATATCTGCTGTTTGCTGATGTCATCAATCATTAGCTCCAGTCCATGAGTCCTGATGAGTCCACATGAGTCCACATGAGCCCACATGAGTCCACATGAGTCCACATGAGTCCACGGTCTGTGGTCCTGATTGATCCTGGATTTAAAGGCAGGAAAATCCAGACTTCTGTCATCACAAACATGTTGGTGTATCAGGTTCTTTACCGACTCAGATTCACAGGTTCTGTTTCCTTTCTGTCTGCAGCTGTTTTCATTTTAACATTTGTCTGATTGTTGAGAGAATCGAATGGAGCCTGAGTTTAATAAAAAATAAAAGTCCTGATCATCAGTTTGAAGCTGTTTCCTGTCTGACCCTCAGGATCAACAACATGACGGACAGAAGAGTTCAAGTTCAACACTGAATCAATAAAAACATTTCAAAATCAGTGCAGAAACTTTTACAAACAACGAGACATTTTATGTGTGACGAACTGTGCAAAAGTCCTGAGCAAACCCTTCAGGGTTTAGATTTTGTTTTGAAGAAGCCGGAGCTTTGTAAATGATCTGCATTAGTTTTAATTAAATCATTACTGGAACTGCAGCTCGCTGTGAAACATGAATTTAAACGTTCAAAAATCTGTGAGATAAATTTTACCAACTTTATTTGTAAAGCACTTTAAACACCGACAGGACCAAAGTGCTGCACACCGTCATAAAATAGAAAAATAAAAGTAGTAATCAAATAAAACACAGATAAAAACACAATAAAACAAAGTCACAAGTCAAACATKCCCGATTGACTAAAGTTGTCTGAAACTCCTCTCAAGGCTAGACTTTTACTTTGAAAGTTTTTCACTTGATCAGATATTTATAAATCAGCCTTACTCAGGCTTACTTTTTAGTTTGCATTTCTGCCTGTTTGTCTCATTTAAAAAACACTCTCAAACAAATTTCACCAAATTAAAATAATTTATTAAAATCCAGATTTTTCCAACAGTTTGTTTACAAACCAGAATGAATCAACTTTATTT